ATGTTTCCACTATACAACACTCCTGTAAGCAATATTTGCATTATTAATTGATATTAAATGAATGGAAAGGGTATGTTCCTATTTTTAACACTTAAGTATTCAAAAGTCCACTTGTGTTTAATGTGTGTATTACCACACACTTTTCATTCTTCAAAAGACTACTAAAAGATTTGTGGCCATTTCCTCTAATCAAGCTTCTACATGCTAGTGCCTGTAGTATTGGGGATTTGAAGCCTTTATTTTATGAATTGTAGAACTGAATGGTATTTAGGGTCAGGAGTGTGTTGTTTATTGGTTCATTACCTCATGGACTGACTCTTCATGACCCCATGGACCAGCCCATGTCAGAGCTCAAGAGTATAGTATGGAGCTAATGCAGTGGTTCTCAGCTTTTGGTTCTTAAGATGTTTTAGACTTCAGCTTCTTCAATGGATTATCATGAGTTATGTTGGTAGAGACTTCTTGGATTTGAAATATAGAAGAGCTGGAGAATGCAAGATCAAGAACGTCTGATAATGAGTTTAGCCAACTAGATAGTTGAACAGCGGGACTGTGGCGCAGCTGGCTGAGAGTCAGCTGCATTAAGATCACTGCTGACCGAAAATGTCATGAGTTCGAAGCCAGCCCAGGTCGGAGTGAGCTTCCAACCAATTATGTAGCTTGTTGTTAGCCTTTGCAACCCGAAAGACAGTTGCATCTGTCAAGTAGGAAAATTTAGGTACCACTTAAATGTGGGGAGGCTAATTTAGCTAATTTATGAGGACATAAAAAATCTCCAACAAGCATGCGGGGAACGAGGAAGTACTTCATCAGTGTTGCAGATGGACGGTGACTGTGAAGCGACAGCTCCCCTGGTGGGCAGAAAAAGTTGGAATGTTAAATAGCCTTTGACTGTCTGTCTATATGTGTTGTGTGTCTATGGCATTGAATGTTTGCCATGTATATGTACATTGTAATCTGCCCTGAGTCCCCTGCGGGGTGAGAAGGGCAGAATATAAATACTGTAAATAAATAAATAAAAAATAAAACCTTGTGATAAGATAGAGAAGCATCTAGGACAGGTAAAGGCAAATGAAAAATAATTGATGCACCACAGATTTGGGAAATGCAGAGGAGTAAATCTGGACCCAGGGTTATGTGCAAATCTGTTTTGTGTGCTGCTAAAACAATCCAGGTGCCTTATGAACAACAGAATTGCAACACTCATACCGCTAAGAGAGTGGCGAAGAGCCATTTTTCCTTGCCCTTTCAGCTCCCTGAAAAGTTGCTCTGAAGCTTATGAATTTGTTGATACAAGGGCAAATCTGGACATAAAACCGATACACTTGTTATTTGCAGGGCTGCTGAATATGTACAGAGATCCAAGAACTAATTGTGTAAGCACATGTGCAACCATTGCAAAATACATGCACACATTCCATTGCCACTACAACTTCTACAATTCTGTGCTAGTTATTGATTTATCATGGTACAATTGTGTCCATTGGCATTTTTTTTCTGCAGGGGAAACATATTCCTGGTTAATGTTATTTAGTGTGTAGGTGTTGCTACTGGAATTTTCTGATCAGATTTATCTGTGTTGAAAGGGGGATAATTTTTGCTGTTTTTCTTTCATTTAAATCTTTAGTCCCAGAGGTCCCTGTTTCACTGACTGAAAGGTCATGTTACCAGCTGCTTTGTAGCCTGCTAACACCAGAGCTGATAGATTTCCCTCAGAGGTTGTTTTTATTCTAGCTCTGTGATGCTCCAGTCATATCTATTTTGAGTAATAGAAAACAAGCAGAAATTGTTTCCCCAGTAACCTGCCATTCTCTCATCCCAGAGCTCCTTGCAGAACTCGTGAAAATTATTTTTTGCTTTCTCCCAGAGTAGCCTTTCTAGGTTTTGCTTCTTCCCTTTTGCCTTGCCTTTCAACTGAACTGTGCATGGAGGAGATTGTTTACCCCCCCCCCCCACTAGTGAGGTACAGCGGAAAGTGAAAGAGAAACTTAAACCCATTCACTGTAATCTCACTATATTTATAATGAGTGTTGTATGTCTGTACCTACCCCCACTCCATCAATATTAGAATTTGGGGTCAAATTTAAGGAAAGGCACTGGTCCTTCTCTAATTCCTTTATACAGAGCTTTGGTATCTTTGTGACCGCTTTTCAGAAATGCATTCTTTCCTGCTAACATTTGATAAAACAGATTCTAACTTCGGAAGAATCTGGTACTATTAGAATTAGATTTTGGCTTTTAGAATCATAGCTATAGTAGATTGAATTGTTACTGTTCCATTATCTGGGTAGACTCTGAAAGGGGGCCTAGACAGAGAATGATAGTCCATTTTATTGGGGGGGGGAGTTGAAGGAGGAAAACCATGCCCCCCATTTTCACTGGTTATTCCCCCCCCCCCCCGCCCCCTTCCCATATCATAAAAGAGGGTTGTTTCCACGATGGGGACATGGGTGGGAGGAATAACAGGGAAATGGGGGGAAATGGTTTTACTCCTTCAACTCCCTCCCCCCATAAAATGGACTATCCTTCTCTGTCTAGTGCCCCCTTGTGGTCCTCACCTGGATATTTTTTTTCCAAGATGGCGCAGGAGCAGCACCTTCCTGTGTCCGCTCCCAAGGGGGACTAAAACCCTCTCCTCTGACCTCCCTTCCAGACCCCTCTCCACCAGATTAAGTCCTAGCTGAGGGACTTGTGGAGACCCAGGGAGGTCCCTGATAAACGAGGTTGTTAACGCATCGCTGGAGCAAGGGATTTTTCCATCTAACTTGAAACAGGCTGTGGTTTGCCCACTCCTCAAAAAGCCTTCCCTTGATTCCACGGTGCTGAACAATTATAGGCCAATCTCCAACCTTCCTTTTTTGGATAAGGTGCTGGAGCGGGTGGTCGCCTCCCAGCTCCAGGGCTTCCTAGATGACATCAATTACCTAGATCAGGCACAGTCTGGTTTCAGGCCTGGTCACGGCACCGAGACAGCCTTGGTCGCCTTGGTGGATGACCTCCGTAGAGAACTGGACAGGGGGAGTGTGACCCTGTTGGTTCTCTTGGACATCTCAGCGGCTTTCGATACCATCGATCATGGTATCCTTCTGGGTCGCCTCTCTGGGATGGGTCTCGGGGGCACGGTTCTGTCGTGGCTCCGGTCCTTCCTGGAGGGACGAACCCAGATGGTGAAGCTGGGAGACGCCTGCTCGGATCCCTGGCCTTTGACCTGTGGGGTCCCGCAAGGCTGTATTCTATCTCCCATGCTCTTTAACATCTACATGAAACTGCTGGGAGAGGTCATCTGGAGTTTTGGAGTTGGGTGCCATCTCTACGTAGATGACACACAACTCTACTACTCCTTTCCACCTAATTCCAAGGAGGCCTCTCGAGGTGTTGGACGAGTGCCTGGCCGCTGTGTCTATCTGGATGAGGACGAACAAGCTGAAGATCAATCCCGACAAGACAGAGGTCCTCCTGGTCGATCGCAAACCGGACCGGGGTATAGGGTGGCTACCTGTGTTGGACGGGGTTACACTCCCCCTGAAGCCACAGGTCCGTAGCTTGGGTGTCCTCCTGGACTCATCGCTCACGCTTGAAGCTCAGGCGTCGGCGGTGTCCGGGAGGGCTTTTGCACAATTGAGACTTGTGCGCCAGCTGCGACTGTACCTCGCGAAGGCTGATCTGGCCGGGGTGGTCCATGCCTTGGTCACCTCTAGACTGGATTACTGCAATGCGCTCTACGTGGGGCTGCCCTTGAAAACGGCTCGGAAATTCCAATTGGTCCAACGGGCAGCAGCCAGGATGTTAACGGGGGCCCATTACAGAGAGAGGTCAACCCTCCTGTTTAAGGAGCCCCACTGGCTGCCGTTTATTTTCCGAGCCCAATTTAAGGTGCAGGTGCTTACCTACAAAGCCCTGAACGGTTTGGGACCACCCTACCTGCATGACCGTATCACTGTCTACGAACCCACATGCTCACTCTGGTCATCTGGAGAGGCCCTGCTCGTGATCCCGCCCGCGTCGCAAGCGCGCTTGGTGGGGACGCGAGACAGGGCCTTTTCTGTGGTGGCCCCCCGACTCTGGAACGCCCTCCCGAAAGATCTCAGACAAGCCCCTACATTGGCAGTCTTCAGAAAGGAATTGAAAACCTGGCTGTTCCGATGTGCCTTCTCAGACTAGGAACCTCCAGCGCCAAATCCTAGAAGCACTTTAATAGAACCAAGATCACTGCACACTGCACATCGCACTTATATTATAATCCTACACTCCTCCTGCCACATCAGCACTTTTAATCCTGTACCCCTACTCCAGCCGGCCCAGTTTTAATAGTGTCTTGTTGCATTGTTACTGTTTATTGTTTTCCTGCTTAACTGTTTTATTTTGCTTTAGGTATTGTATTGTTGTATGTGTTTTGGGGCTTCGGCCTGTGTAAGCCCCATCAAATCCCTTGGGAGATGCTAGCGGGGTACAAATAAAGTTATAATAATAATATAATAATAATGGAGCAGTACTGACAAATCTTCAACATAAACCATTTGTTCTCTGTACAGAGCAGAGAAAATTGCATAGCTTCAATCTCAGTGATGATTTAGGCTGCATTTATATGAAAAATTGAGTGTGCACTGAACAAGTGGGCACACATAAAGCATGCCCTGGATTGTGTTCTCCCAAGGGTGCTTCCAGATAGGAGAATTTTAGTGGTATCTGTCACAGGACAGCTTAGAGATTTTCTGTACCTCTACAGGTATTTTCCTTCAGTCAATAACATGGAAAGGGCATACATTCAATGAAACAGCTATACCTACTGTAAAGATGTAATGATTGCATAATGAAAAATTACTTAGAAGTACTGTATTGTCCAAAATAAGGCATGTTTGGGTGAATAGAAGAATCATGTACCAATATAAGTTGATGTCAATTTTCTTAAGCAAATCTAAAAATCTTTATTCAAATCTAAAAATCAGTTATATGATTTTTCTGTTAGAATTAGCTGAAATTCTTTTTTTTTTCTTTGAAAGGCTCTTCCTTCTTCCATGGTCATAGTAGCAATCTACTGCCCAGTGATAGCAGCTCTTTTCATTGTTCTGAAGATGGTAAACTACCGTCTGCACAGAGCACTTGATGAAGGTGAGATTGTGGAGAGGAATGCCAGTGAACGCATGGACAGGGGTGCAAAAACAGAAATAGATAATTCTCCTGCCAGGAGAAAGGACAGCAATGGGCCTAGGTAAGTGATCTTTAGTATTTACATTTTGGGATGTTTCTTCTACCTTTACTGTATCCTTAACAGTAGACTGAACCTGTTGTATTGGACTTCAACTATAGTTAAGCAAAGAAGAAAAAGAGTTTCCTTCAAAATATTTCTCTCCAAACATCACAACTTTACAGGTGCCTAAGTCATCCTGTTATTGTTTCTATCGTTTTTATAGTGCCATTAATGTATATGGTGCTTTACAAGGTTTTTTTTGGGGAGGGGTATCAGGAGTGACTTGAGAAAGTGCAAGTCACTTCTGGTGTGAGGGAATTGACTGTTGCCCTGGGGGCGTCCACATGTTTTATGTTTTACCATCCTTGTGACAGGCTTCTCTCATGTTTCCGCATGGGGAGCTGGAGCTGACAGTGGGACTTCTACCCGGTTTTCCCAGATTTGAACCGCTGACCTATTGGTCAGCAGTCCTACCAGCACAAGGGTTTAACCCATTTGCGCCACCAGGGGCTCGCTTTACAAGTAAAGTCAAGACTACATGCTTCCTTCACAGATTTCTGTTGTATTATCTGAGTCATTTTGTTGCATCACCATTTTGCAGCCATCTCCGTTACAATGCCTTCATACTGTGCAGGTTGCTCATGGACCCTTTTGTTGTTCCATTCCCTCTACTGTCAACCTTTCTTTCATTAAAGGAATTGGGAACTCAAACTTGGCAATGCCTCACCTCAGCAGTTGTTGCTCAGAAGTCCTCTGGCACAAATATTAATTTAATATCAGTAACAAAACTGAACTTGAGTCTATATTTCTACTGAACTCTAATGGCAATAATACAATTTACTATATCTGGATGAAGTACAGTATATAATATTGGATGGTATAGCTGCACAGTATAACTCCATTGGTGAAAGTAATAGGATTTATTTATAAATATAAAGCTACATATCTTGGAATCTTGTAAAACATAAAGCAGTATGCAAGTAGTCCTCAGGGTAAATAAAAAATAACTAAGCCGACTTTTTAAAAAGTTCCATTCCAAAAACGGAAATACTGACATTAAAAAGGATACCACTGTATTTCCCAGTATATTTTCTGAAGAAATGTATTGAAGCCTAGGGAAAGAGCTATAGCAGCTACATAGCATTGGAAACAGGAGCAAGAGATGACTTGGAATAACAAGGAACAGAAAGAAATGTCCTTGTGTAGCCAATCAGCTGGCTAGCTGATGTCCAAACTAGCTATCCTTCTGATGCAACAGAAGGTTTGGGGGTGTGTGTGGGTTGTCTCATCCAGTCATTTCTAAAAGGTCTGGTGTACTTCCTCCAACCCCTAACTAATTAGCTGATGGTCAAGCACATACAGTGGGGGGAAGTATTTCATCAGATACCAATTGTACGAGTTCTCCCGCTTAAAAAGATGAAAGAGGCCTGTAATTGATATCATACGTAGACCTCAACTATGAGAGACAAAATGAGAAAACACATCCAGAAAATCACACTGTCTGATTTTTAGCGTATTTATTTGCAAATTATAGTGGAAAATAAGTATTTGGTCCATAACACAAGTTTATCACAATACTTTGTTATATATCCTTTATTGGCAATGACAGAGGTCAAACATTTTCTGTAAGTTCTCACAAGGTTAGCACACACTGTTGCTAGTATGTTGGCCCATTCCTCCATGCAGCGATGTTTTGGGGCTGTCACTAGGCATTTTCAACTCCCTCCAAAGGTTTTCTATAGGGTTGAGATCTGGAGACTGGCTAGGCCACTCCAGGACCTTGAAATGCTTCTTACGAAGTCACTCCTTCGTTGCCCTGGTGGTGCGCTTGGGATCATTGTCATGCTGGAAGACCCAGCCACGTTTCGTCTTCAGTACCCTTGCTGATGGAAGGAGGTTTGCACTCAAAATCTCACAATACATGGCCCCATTCATTCTTTCATGTATATGGATCAGTTGCTCTGGTCCCTTTGCAGAGGAACAGACCCAAAGCATGATGTTGCCATCCCCATGCTTCACAGTAGGTATTTCTTTGGATGCAACTCAGCATTCTTTCTCCTCCAAACACAATGAATTGTGTTTCTGCCAAACAGTTCTACTTAGGTTTCATCTGACCATATGACATTCTCCCAATACTCTTCTGGATCATCCAAATGCTCTCTAGCAAACTTCAGTTGGGCCCGGACATGTACGGCCATTTTTGTGATCATTTCGACCCCACAGGATGAGATCTTGCATGGAGCCCCAGATCGAGGGAGATTATCAGTGGTCTTATATCTCTTCCATTTTCTAATTATTGCTCCCACAGTTGATTTCTTCACACCAAGCTGCTTACCTATTGCAGATTCAGTCTTCCCAGTCTGATGCAGGGCAACAATTTTGTTTCTGATGTCCTTTGTCAGCTCTTTGGCTTTCACCATAGTGGAGTTTGAAGTGTGACTGCTTGAGGTTGTGGACAGGCGTCTTTTATACTGAGAACAAGTTCAAATAAGTGCCATCACTACAGGTATTGAATGGAGGACAGAAGAGTCTCAAGTTACAGGTCTGTGAGACCCAGAAATCTTGCTTGTTTGTAGGTGACCAAATACTTATTTTCCAACATAATTTGCAAATAAATACATTAAAAATCAGATGATGTGATTTTCTGGCTGTGTTTTCTCATGTTGTGTCTCATAGTTGAGGTCTACCTATGATGTCAATTACAGGCCTCTCTCATCTTTTTAAGTGGGAGAATTTGTACAATTGGTATCTGACTAAATACTTTCCCCCCCCCACTGTAGTCTTTCTCATATTGTTTGGCAATCTCTAGTCTCAGGTAGCTGGCATCTCCACAGTTGAAGATTTAGTGTATTTGAAGAAAGAGCCAGAACTTTATGGTTGTCTTGTATAATTGGTACTCATCCTAAATAAATAGATGACTGGTTTCTTTAGAAGCAAGTCCCATAGCTAATACATATCCCCCTCACCCGCCCTCACACTGCTATTTAGAGAGCATTCTAAACCCTAATCTTTCTCATTTAGTGAATTTTAAAAAGTAGTGATATGAACAAAATAAGTATTAATTCTCTGTATGTATGAACCCAACTTAACTTAGCTACTATTTTACCTATTACAATATAATTACCAGTATCACATTACTCTATTTTTGAGAGAAAGAATTAAGATCTATCTATCCAGTATCCTGCTTTACATGTTTGTGGAGATTGCTTTGGAAGAAAACCAACATTATTGTCTCATCTTGCTTGCAAAGAGCTGAGCAAAATATCTGCTTCTGTTTTAACACTTTGCTCAATAAATACCTCCGTCTACAGCTGTAAAATTTTCAATATTCTCAGAGCTGATCACTTAGACTGAAGTAAGTTTCAATTGTACATTTTATTAGTTTGACACAGATAATTAGAATAATACCTAGAATGTTTGAATTTATCATGTTTTAGCGATCCTGGCGGAGGGATTGAGATGTCAGAATTTGTTCGAGAAGCCACTCCACCAGTAGGTTGCAGTTCAAGAAATTCCTTTGCTGGCCTTGATCTGAACAACCAGGTGAGAATTAATACTTTTGCTTCTGTACCATCATGCTGCTTCTTTCCTGGTTGCAATAATTGAACAGTTCTCCAAAAGTAAAGTATTTGGGGTTTATCTTCACTTCTCAGACTTTCTTTCTTTTTTTCACTGAGTTCAGCTGAGAGCAGTCTTTTTAAAGAATATTTTGTTGCTACTGGGTTTTTTTATCTTAGAAACTTTTAGATGACTCTTGATTACTGAAAAATTGCAAGTGTCTACAATATGATAAAATGTTTTATTAAAATAATATATTGACACAATTCCTGCAGTACAGTAAGCATTTTGTTGCTGCTCTGATATATTAAAATGCACAATGCACTTTAAAATTTGACAGTTGTACAAAGAATCTGAGTCTGCCTTGAATTGCAGTTTAGAGAGTAAGAGAAGTTATAAATAAAGTAATAAAATGTAAATATACTAAATGTTTTGGCATGTATGTGAAATGAAAAATTATTGGAAGTTCTTTATTTTGTATTTCTGGTGAAAGGAATTACATTTTAAATCATAGGTATTTTCATATATTCTGTTATTTTTGAGTACTGAAAAGTCTAGTGAAAACTTGTACATTCTTTTTTCCTTCTGAAATGTATATGTGATTGGTTTTTCAAAAGTGAACATAAGCACAAACAATATTTATTACTATACTTTCAAAAAGAGCATCTTAATCTTACCACACAACCAAATTACCAATAAAGAAGAAATGAGTACTGTGGTTTTGCCACAGAGATGTTAAAACAACTCTTCTGTTTATTTGGAAATTCATGTGTTGATCCCCATTTTAGATTGGATCTGGTTTATCTCGTCGTGGAACAGCAGCTACAATTAAAGGTAAGATTTTTTTTTCTTGAACTCACCTTCATGGAACCTCATAAGTCACTTTGCATATCAAGGAACTTTCCCCTTTTTCCATTAGTGTTGGTATACAATTCATTTGTTGTTTTTATTTGCCATCGAACCAACTTCAACTTATGGTATCCCTGGGCACGTCTACACTGACCACTTAATGTGAAGGTTTCTGGAATTAGCTCCGTAGCAGCCAAACTATCCACCAAGGTAATCTGGTGTAACACAGGGCAAGGCTGTCTTAACATGGCCTTGACCACATTAACCAAGTTGTGGGTTACCCTGAATTCTGCCCAAGAATTCAGAGCAACCTGCAACTTTGGACCCAGGTGGCACCCAGAGAATACCTCAACAAGAGAAATGGAAGGAGACAGTAAGAATTGCCATCCAGGGTTAGCGGGTGGGGTTGGCTGTGTAACCCATCCAGGGACCGATCCTGTATGCAAGGATCCCATACTTTGGCTTTGGTAGGATTCCTCTTCTTTTGTGCCTTGAATACTTACATCACTCTCTATTTATGAAATGAGTTGTGTTCTAAAGAATGTTTTATGTGAGGTGCAGCCATTCAGAGGGTTCTAGCACTGTTCTTTGGTTTGCTACTCTACAATGAATTGTTTCTCTTTTGGTGTCTACTCAGGTTTCTTTTCACTGTTTTTATTTTTTAAATTATATTTGGTAATGCAGTTAACGAAGCCACTGTAAAAGAAGCTTCTTTTAAAAAGTCTCCTATTATGGTTTTAGGATAGTACTCTGAAAAATAATCTGCTCTTTCTGGTAATGTGCAGGTGATACAGACACTGCAAAGACATCTGATGATATCAGCCTGAGTCTGGGCCAGAGTTCTAGTCTCTGTAAAGATGGAAGTGAAGAGCAGGGTGAGTCATATTATCTCTTGTGTAAGCTGTCTCTATTGCAATAACTGAGATTCCATTTTGCGGGAAATGCACAAAAACAGCCATAAGATGAAGACTGCTTTTTGCATAGTTGTAGCAGTGTGTCCTTAATTTTGAGGATGTATGACATGTCTGCCTCGTAAGCAAGTCTAAAGTGATTGTTATGATGGAGCTCCTTTTTTTGGTTTTTTTTGGGGGGGGGGGGGTTTGAACACCTAATAAATTAAAAGGCTTGAAAGTGGTAGCCTATATGTCAATGAATTAACATATGCGTGTCTAAGAAGTTTGGGTTTTGACCCAAACTTATGGGAACTCTCAAAAGGAAGTAGCACTATTCCCAAAATGTTCACAACTCCACTAGCTTGTTTACTATACACACACACACACACACACCCTGCTCTTCAGCCACAAAGGCTCTCAGAGTGGTTTACAAATTGTAATTTTGCCCTTGGTCTTACAATCTAAATAAGATGTTATTTATTTATTTATTTTGTGTCAAAATCATTGCATAAATAAATAAGTATAAAACTGATAAAATAGAGGGAACACAAGTGGCTAAATAATTTTAAACCAAAAATGGGCGACAGCACTGTCTGTAGCTTTAAACAGTTCTTTCTCTGTGCGTGAGGCATGGCATTGTGGGCAAGCATACAGATGCTGAGTTGCTTGTTCTGTTTCACAGTCACACAAGGTGGAGGATTCTTCTAGGTAGTGTCTGCTGATAAGTTTCTGGTCCCAATTCAAAGTGCAGGTTATTACCTACAAAGCCCTAAATGGTTCGGGCCCTGCCTATCTTCGCGAGCGTATCTTCCCCTATGAACCGGCACAGTCTCTAAGATTTTGCTAGGAATGCCTTCCTCTTGCTTCTGCCTTTTTGGTGACGATCCCCTGGCTCTGTAACTCCCTCCCCAGGAAGATTTGATCATCCCCCACTCTGTCTGCCTTCCAGAGGGACTTCAAAACCTGGATGTTCAGTGTACTTTTGAATGATGGCTTAGGCCCTGATCATGACTGCCCAACCATAATTTACTGATAAGGTTTATCCAGCACTTTACCCCCAGTCCCTGCCCTTTATTCTGTATTTTGCACAAGTCCTTGCCTTACCCTCTGTAATCTGATTATGCCCACAATACCCTGATTACTGGGAGGAGACTAATAGCCATGCAGTGGAAGGCTTTTACAGTGTTCAACCTTATTTCTCTCATTTGTGTCATGTTTGGTCCAGATCCATCATTGTTTGAATTCACAGTGCTCTCTGGATGTAGGTGAACTGCAGCTCCAAACCCCAAGATCTGTGTCCACCAAACTTTTCCAGTATTTTCTGTTGGTCATGAGAGTTCTGTGTGCCAACTTTGGTTCAATTCCATTATTGGTGGAGTTCAGAATGCTCTTTGATAGTAGGTTCACTATAAATCCTAGCAACTACAACTCCCAAATGACAAAATCATTCCCTCCAACCCCACCAGTATTCAAATTTGAGCATATCGAGTATTTGTTCCAAATTTGGTCCAGTGAATGAAAATATATCCCACATATCAGATAGTTACATTATGATTCATAACAGTAGCAAAATTCTAGTTATGAAGTTGCAACAAAAATAATGTTATGGTTGGGGGTCATGAGGAACTGTATTAAGGTGTCATGGCATTAGGAAAGTTGAGAACCACTGTTATAGAGTCTATCAACAGATCTAGGTTTGAGACATCCTGTGATTATTCTACATGTTTCATTCAGTGCTATATTCACCTGCTTCGCGTGGGTAGACTTGTGCCAAACAGGGCAGGCATACTTAGCAGTTGAGTAAGACAAGGCCAGGGCTGCTGTTCTTATTAATTTTGGGTCTGCACCCAATGCGCAATCAGTAAGTTTCCGCAGGACGTTATTGCATGCTGCTACTTCGTACTTGGTGTTCATACAGTGTTTATGTTGTTCATTCGTTCGGTCGTTTCCGACTCTTCGTGACCTCATGGACCAGCCCATGCCAGAGCTCCCTGTTGGCCATCACCACCCCCAGCTCCTTCAAGGTCAATCCAGTGACTTCAAGGATGCCATCCATCCATCGTGCCCTTGGTCGGCCCCTCTTCCTTTTTCCTTCCATTTTCCCCAGCATCATTGTCTTCTCTAAGCCTCTAGAGGCAAAGCCTCATCTGTGCCTCTAATATCCTTCCGTCCAAACAGCAGTCGGACTTTATTTCCTGAAGTATGGGCTGGTTGGACCTTCTCACAGTCCAAGGCACTCTCAGAACTTTTCTCCAACATCACAGTTCAAAAGCATCTATCTTCCTTGGCTCAGCCTTCCCTATGGGCCAGCTCTCACATAGGTGACTATGGGGAATACTATTGCTTTAACTATGCAGATCTTCGTTGCCAGTGTGATGTCTCTACTCTTAACTATTTTATCAAGATTGGCCATTGCTCTTCTCCCAAGAAGTAAGCATCTCCTGATTTCCTGGCTGCAGTCTGCATCTACAGTAATCTTTGCACCTAGAAATACAAAGTTTGTCACTGCCTCCATGTTTTCTCCCTCTATTTCCCATTCATGTTGCCATAATCTTGGTTTTTTTGACCAGAGGTATGGTCAGTTATTGATCAGCTGCTGATCAATCATCAGCTGCTGGACAAGACCCAACATGGCGACCACCAGTCTCTAGTGTGCATTGAAAGTTTTCAATTCAATATCTTGTTCCATTTTTGTAACAAATGATAGCGCAGAGATGGGGAAAATGTGCCCAACAAGCCAGGTGCAGCGCAACTCTTTTATTGTAGCTCTCAGAGTCTCTACCCTCACCTTCAGGGTGAAACATGCCCTCCAAAGTTAATCTCTAGCCCTGGATGCAGTGGATTGAAAGTATTGCTCAACCTTCTCAAAACCCTTAGCATTCCCTGCCCCCTATATTGAAATGGTAACTGGAAGTCATTCCCAGTTGTGAATTTCATCCCCCAAAGTAGTGTGGTCTGTCACAGTAGTGCAGGTGGAACATGTTGTTGTCCACTTCTGCTGTAGAGGTTGTTAGGACTTTGCTTTGTTTTTTTCTTCAGTGGATTCATATATAGAGGATATATATTGTTATAAACAAGACTTGCAATGAAGTAATATGAAACATTGATGGGGTGGAGGGTTAAAGTTTATCTGCCACAGACTTTTTTAAAAAACTTCATGTGTTTCTACAGCTCCCCATTTTGTTTGGTAAGCTTATGTAGTTAGCACAACATTTGTATAACATTTTTGATTGGATGTGTATAGTTTTTTTTCTGTTGCTACAGGAGCTTCCATATGACAATCCAATCACTATTATTATTATTATTATATTTATTATTATTATTATTTCATACATTTGTATCCCGTCCTTCTCACCCCCTCTTGGGGGGGGGGGGGGAGCTCAGTGTGGCCTCACAATTGGCAGTCATTAGATGCCTAAATAAGACAATTATAATAACAATTTACAATCAGAACAACCATTAAAATTCCATATATAAAAACATCCAATTAAAATTACGCAAGTTCAAGTAATCCAGGTCAGTCCATTGTGTCAGACTATTGCTTTTAAGGCTGACTTTTCTCATTTATATACATACATATATATATAATATATATAAAAATTGATGTGCACCTCTGATCTGTTTTACACTCAATCATTTTGCCTTTTCACAAGAAATTCATCATTCTGAACAAAGGCAAGATTGCATATACCCATGACCTTTTATATCTTGTAAATTCCCTGCCACACATAAATATACTCAGGTGCCCATTTGAGGTAGTGTATATATTTTTCAAAACTGAAATGTTAATCTGCAGCACTACAGTCTTTTCAATGATAGGGATTTCTTGGTCAACTTCTTTTTGGTCAACTTATACTTTTTGCCCCAAACCATTTAAAAAAACCAACTTATTTAATCCCAAACATTTTTGGGATTTTTATTGCATCCTGTTTGAAGTTTTTTTCTCTCTCTACTGCCTTCATGTTTTTCATTCTTTAAACCTAGTTTCAATATGCTCTGTGTTCCTTTATGTCAGTGAAAACCTTCAAGTGTCCTTCTTTGTGAAGAGCTGGAGACATTAAAGCTCTTTCTTTGACCACCAAGTACACAAAGAAAAAAAGTACCTGATTTGAGTATGAAGGAAGACATTTCAGAAAAAACCCTGCCCTATATCAGTCGTAAAGATTGCATGTCACTAACTACAAGGAAATGTATAATAAATGAACTGGGCTATATTAATTTTCTTGAACAAGTGTTTACAGATAAAATGGTCAGGGAGTTACTGTGTTCAAATAAACAAAAGAATAAATATTTTTTCACAGTAAGTGAAGGAAGCCCAAGACTAGTAGCAGATGGAAAGTTCTTGAATATAATGCTTGAACAAGCCTTTATCAGCTGTATTAATCTTAGTTCCATGTGACAGTTGTCTTAATTTCCATTATTTGTGGTAATGCATTGATAGACCCTGATCTTCTTCCAGGTCAGTCCATTGTAAGACTATTGCTTTTAAGGCTGATTTCTCTCAGCAAGTTGATGGGCTTGTTAAGTATGGATAGAATTTCAACTTCCTTCTGGATTTGGTATTTTTTGTTCAGTCTTATGCCATGGTTTACTTACATGTTGCATAACAAAGAATGTGTCTGTCTGTCTGTCTGTCTGTCTGTCTGTCTGTCTATCTATCTATCTATCTATCTATCTATCTATCTATCTATCTATCTAGGATCTGTGTGCAATATAATAATGGCCATTAGGGAAGTTGTTGTGTGTGCATGTTAAATAAAGCAGGTATCTATAGTAAAAATTGCTTCAAAGGAGCTACTCGTGTGAAATCCATCTACCACACATAGTGTAAATAAATGTGCTTTTTAATTTTTGTTTTTGAAAAACAGATTTGGCAGCTGATCGGAAGACTTTCCATCTGGTCTCCATCGATTCCTTTGTGTCCATTCAGCCGTCATTGGCATCGGCACAGGAATTGCCACGGGACTGCAGTGACAAAGTGTCTCTCTCTAATAACCACCACATAGACCAGTCTTTGTCTAACGCATGTGACACTGAAGTGGCTTCTCTTGTGCCCCTGCATTCACACTCCTATCGAAAAGAACACAGGCCACGAGGGGTGCCAAGGACTTCAAGTTCAGCAGTTGCTTTTCCAGATGCTTCACTAAATGACTTTCCCATCTATCAGCAAAGACGAGGGCTGGATACAGTCAGTGAGTTGGAAGCTTCTAAGCCCCGATTGGGATCCAAAGAATCTTTAGCTGAAAACTCCTGTATTTCTGGTGTCTTTCAGCTGGAAGATATTCTAAAGTGTAGCAGCCCACAATTGCTGGCCAAAAGCAGCAAGAGTAAATCGTTACAAGCTGACAAAAGTGTGGATAGTCTCAGAAGCTTGAGTACTCGAAGTAGTGGCTCAACAGAGAGCTATTGTAGTGGGACTGATCGAGATACAATCAGTACCGTCAGCAGCTACAAAAGTGAGCAGACAAGCTCCACGCACATAGAGAGTGTATTGTCTGAACATGAAGAGTCACCCAAAGAAGAGAAGACAAGCAGCAAGAAAAAAGATTACTCTGTTGATTCTGATGATTGTAGTTTTGCGACTGACAAAAGGACTAGCAGTGAAAGAACTGTAGAAATGAATGCTACCAGTTGCATTCAGGAGGAAGGAGCATTGAATGCATTACAGGAGATGCACAATCAGAGATCCCTTAGCACCTCAATTTCAGAAGAGGCAAACAAAAATCCTCATGCAAATGAACTGTCAACACAGGCAGACCTGCTTCCTGGAAAACCTGCTGAGAAAAGAGACGAGCAGAAAGAGAAATCTTCCCTGGTGGATTCAAGGACTTGTAAGGAGACAGTTGGAAAACAGAAAGAGGGGGATGTACGTCCAAAATCATGTAGCTTAATTCATCGAACAGCTTCAGCTCACAAATCCAGCAGAAGAAGGACAGGGAAAAAACGAGCTAGTAGTTTTGACACCAGCCGACATAAGGAATATATTTCCTTCCGAGGTGTATCCGGTACCAAACCACACAGTGCAGTTTTTTGCCATGAGGAGGACTCAAGTGATCAAAGTGACTTGAGCAGGACTTCAAGTATGCAGTCAGCCCACCAGTTCAGCAGTGATAGCTCTTCCAGCACCACCTCCCATTCTTGCCAGTCTCCTGAGGGAAAATACAATGCCCTAAAGACCAAATATATTGCAAAAGAAAAGGGCACAGACTTGGAAAACTCTTACAAAATGCACTTGAGCTGTGAGGCAAATGGCAAAAAACATTCAACACGACGGACTTCCAACACAAATAGTGCCAAGAGTCGTATCAGGGTATTAAGTCTGGACAGTAGTACTGTAGCCTGTTTGAATGATCCAAATCTAACAATGCCAGATACCATAAAACAGCTAACAACTTCTAAATCTGATTTAGAGGCGAAAGAGGGAGAGGTGCTTGATGAGCTATCTCTGTTGGGAAGGGCTTCACATCTAGAATCAGTCACTCGCTCTAGGAATAGCTTACCAAGTCAGAGTATGTTTGCTGAAGGGGAAGAGCATGAACAGGGAAGTGTTGGTAAGTAATCACAGATCTAGATACAAGACGTCCTGTCATTGTAATTGCACTTTGAAAATGCTTTGTTTTTATTGACTTGTAATGAATTGCTGTTTTCTGAATATGAAGTTAGAAGTATTATATAGCAGTCCTGTATATTTTGGCACATCTTATGTTATTGAATATTGTGAGATCATTTAATATTAATACACTTACAAGTTTCCTTTCCATTTTGTAAATATTGTGGTATTACTATTTTTATCATGTCTTAACTCTCTGAATACAATGTGAAAATATGTTTCTTAACACAATGATGTGTGCAGAATCTTATAAGGTGGTTTCCTCAGTGCATCATTTTACCTTTAGTTTGCCTTACGTTAAATCATTTAATAACTGTAGAAGAGCATAAGGTTAAAATTATTCTGTGTTCACCATATTTATGGTGCTTTTTATTTATGTTATCTCTAGCTTCTTTCCTGTACTATTTATAGCAAAGGTTTCTCTATTTACTTGGGTTATTTTTCAAGAGAAGGCTCTTCTTTTTTTCTTCTGCCAAATTTGGTACCAAAAACTTATCCAGTGTGGCTACTCAGTTTTCACTAGGCAAGAAGACCTTGATATTAATTTGCCTTCATTTGCTGAATAGTGCTTATTGGTATTAGGATTTATAGTCAAAATTACCAAAGTTGTAATGTCAGAGTATAAATGTAATTTTGACTTTCAAAATTATAAAGTACAAAGAATAAACAGAATTTGTTTTCATAATCCGATTTGACTTGTAGAATAGTAAACTGTAGTAAAGCAAATGCACCCAGCTTTTTTCTTTAGTGTTGCTACCTTTTGTCTTTTGTTGTTGGCCTGTTAATCTCCCCTTTGGTTAGACTTTTCCAATCCTCAACTAAGATAGCCCAGAATTTAATACATCTCTCTGTTGCCTTCATTTTGTGAATACTGGAATAATAGAAAAAAGGAAACTACTTTATTCTAAGTCAAACCATTAATCCCTCTAGGTCATGTTTGTCAATTCCGACTGGCAGCAGTTCTTCTGTGTTTCTGGCAAGATTCTTTCCTAGCCCTTGGATTCCCTAGATTCCCATCCATGTACTAAACAGACATGATATTTCTTAGTTTTCAAGATCATATGGGGATGGATATGTTCAGTGTGATGTGTTGGTTGGATATCGGAGACATTCACTCTAAGAAGACACCCAGGATTTTTTGATGTCTTTGGCCATTCTTTACAGGCCTATAGAGCATTCATGTCCTTTGTGTACTACTATCCACTGTGAGCATGTCCTGCCTTTGGTCTTACCAGTGATGTTACTTTCATGAGGATGCCTATTGGGACTCTTATTTTGATTATCCAGTCAGCATTTTTTTATTTCCCCCCATAAAATGAAAAAAGCTAGGTAGTATGTCATATTTCACAGTGAAGTACTTGATTCATCTAGAATTCAGCACAGTTTTTAGAATCCTTTACTATAATACCACTTTATTAAGTTTGTGAAGAACAGATGTAACAGTCTGTTTTGGGAATTGGTAATGCAACTTGTATAATTTACACTTAACATATTTTTTTTCTGGCCATATCTGGCAACAGTGCTCAGTATGCATCTTCAGTCCCATTGAATCAGCTTTCAAAGTCCAATTTGATACTTATGTTCATTTGTGTTTTAAATGTCTGATTTTGGATTTTTCCCTCTTCATTTTCTTCACTGAGAAGAGATTTGGGTTTGCCAAATCTAGAGCAGTCTAGTAAACTAGAACAATTTTCAAATCATGTTTAGAAGTAAACTCATAAATTATAGTTTGAACTTAACATGTTTAACAAAGATGCTGGCATAGATGTCATTATAGCAAGGTTTAGTTCCAAAATTATAACAGAGGAAGTATTAATATTTTTCAGGGAAAAAAGGGAATGGGTGTGAAGGAACTTACACCATATGTTTTCACTAGGACAATTTATTAAAATATCCTAGACATGGAACATTGACAATTCTGTGTTGAAAGCTCTTAGACCATTTAAATCTAATAAATAAAGTTTAGGTAATAATGTTTTATTGTTAACTGTTTTAATCTTTGCACAACTATCTCAGAGATACTGGTGTTAGAGTAGAGAGGAAATGTTCAGTGCAGTGTTTATTTCTAAGGACAAGGCCTTCAACATAATTCTGTAAATTGTGTTTCTTGAAGATGGTCTACAGATTCAATCAAGTTCTGGTGCACAATCCAAAGTGTCTATGATGTTTATGTCATTTTGAAATCAGTTGGAAACCTCATTGATTTTGATATGGAACATAATATGATCATCCCAGCAAAAAAATTAGGAACCATGTATCATTTTTTAACTAATGAAAGCAAATTGTTCATAGTTATGCAATTTTTGTGCAAATGTGAGATATGTTGCTTTGTGTTTCTGTGCTGTCTAGTCAGCTTGAAATGGAAATTTGAAAAAATAGGGTACATACTCTGATGCCATCAAGACATTTCCACCCCAGAAGATTTAATCTTGCTGTAATTTTCTAAAACTCCTGCTCTTTTCTGCTATTTCCCCTCCTGCTCCCCTTCATGTCTGGCTTGGAAATACATCAGTGATCAATATAAACCTTTAACTGGGAAGCAGTTCTTTGCAGATGAGTACATGGGCTATCAGGAAGTTGGATGTTCCTTGCTCTACAGAATAACAACTTAACTCTGATCTTCCTTTACTACTTCCTAGCAGGCCAACTTGGTTTTCAGCCAGTAATTTCTGTGATTTCATTTATAAAGTAGAGTTATAGTCTTTATTGCATATTTTCCTAATATGTAATTTTGGGTTTTTTTTAAAAGGATAAGTTGTCAGAATATGTACGAGGGGCATTTTTGAAGTAAGGTCCGTTTTGTTGTAGACACTAGTAGTTCGTGCGCATACCGCAGCGTCCATGATGAGGACTGCTCCAGTCGCCCTTCTTTGATTACAGATGATTTTGTGGCTTCAGTTGAAGCGAGGATTCGTGAGAACAGGCGCTTCACAATAACAATAATAAAAATCTGTGAATTGTCGTATCCACTTATGCACTTTGCTTTCACTCATAACAGTATCACCGTACACTTCACAAATCTGTCGATGAATTTCTGCAGCAGTCAGGTTCCTTGCTGACAAAAAACATATCACCGAGCGAACCTCAGATGCGGAGGATGAGTTGATAGTCTTAAACATTTTTAAAGCACAGAACAGAACCGTACAGGTTAGCTACAGAGCAGAAACTGAGCACAGTTGTTCCCGAGGCATGCCGGTACACGACGCAAGCGCTCGTTGCGGTATGCGCACGAACTACTAGTGTCTACAACAAAACGGACCTTACTTAAAAAATACCCCTCGTACATGCATTGCCCTGAATGCATGATGTTGGTCTTCTACCTTTTAAACTGGATGTTGAAGAAAAATTCTCTTGAGTTCAGGTTACTAAATTGAGGCTTTGTGGAGATACATACATCTGCAGTGTGATTCTGAACAAATGTGTACAAGTGTACAAACAGATTACATATACAGGACACTGGGGAATCTGTTTTAGCAATTGCTACTTCCTTTCCTCTGTCAGATAAAGTAACCTCTCATATTTTGTTTTGGTACAGAATCTGCTGAGTGGAAATTTTGAGCTTTCTTTAGAATACAACATAAAAGGATTTTTTAAAGAGGAAAATATTATAAAAGATAGGAGTATTGATCTTGGAGGAGAGTTACCAGAACACATTGAATGAATTGCATCTATGTCAATTCCAACACAAATAGGAGCTTCAATTTCAGGCCATAGATCCACCCAAAATTGCAATATCTTTACTACTCCTCCACATGGTTTAAAATTAAGATGTCTGTTTACTTTTTTAAATGGATGTGTTAAGTATATTCCTGGAAGATTTCTGTCTCAGCTTGTAATTTGTTTTCTCAATGTTCCATGATCAACATGATCAGTGAATAAAGCATATAGGGCGCTTTGGGAATCAAGTGAGAATTATGGAAAGAAATACTTGATAATATGTAAATGTGGATGTGTGCTGTTTGTTTAGGGCTCTACCAGGACATTCATCAGTGAGGTGTCATTTCATGCATTAATGAATAGTAGCACATTTGATGCCATTGGAAAACCCAAAGAAGAGTTTATAGAGAATTCTAACTCTCCTTTGATTTTTTCCATGCAGGATGCAACCAGGTAATGCAGAATTTCCAGTTCATTCTCACAAAAAAGAACAGAATAGAAGCATCTTTTAAAAAGCTGCTCTCTTTCCTGTGCATCATTATATCTTATCTATTTGCACAATATAGTCTTCCTGTACTGCCTGCCTCACACTGCTGTTTTTGGGGTAGGTGGGAAGTACTGTTCAAGATCTAAGTGAAATCAATGTTGCAGTATTATAACATTAACTAAAACTACCACAGCATTTGTTCTGTAACATTAATTTGTTTCTCTGTGTCAGTAAAATGTGATGGACATTTGGAGCAGCAGCATCTACACATGAGGGCTTGCCCATCAATTCCATGCCTCATTTCAGGGGCTGGAAGGCAACATAGCTCTCTGTTTATAAAGATCTTGTTCTGAAAAAGGATTTAAAATAAAAGCATTTAGCTAGGAGTTTATCTAAAACATTAATCTGCAAGAGATAATTGGGCACTAAATGTGAAGGCAGAATGATAAGATTCTTCTGGTATTTCAGATATTTAAAGAATCTCATTTCAGTGTCATGTAACATTTTTCCTATTTTTGTAGTAGAAAGAAATATCCATAGTAAATGAGGATATCTCAGCATGTAATCACTCACTTTTGTGAAATGATTGCTTTTGCTATGGCAAAAACGTGAGTTAATGAACTAAACCATGTGAGTTTTCTGAGTTTTCTGAGCATATATGATACGCAGTAATTTCAACCCCAATAAAGTAGTTGTGTCTCTAGTATCTGTGAGGTATTTCCACAAATGTTTTATTTTATAATTAGGTAATTAATATTGCTTTCTCATGCTTGGGAAACAATTGTATAAAATATTTT